AATCAACTCGACGGCACATAACAACAACAACTGTTTGTTATGAAATTAACCAGAGACTGAGTATAATTTCAACACTCATTTTTGATCTTCAGTGATATGGGAGATACTTTTTTATCTTTAAATTTATTTCTCCCTCTGTCATTTTTAACAAACTGTTCAAAGCCAAAATTGTCGTCGTGCAGATTAGGGACCTTAGACAAAGGCAGGGTCTGCACTAGGACCTGGGTCTCTTGACTGTATGCCAAGATGCTCTTCCCCTTCACTGAGTTAGGAATGTGGCTGAGCAGCAGACATATACTCTGTGGCATAGAGATTGTTTTCATGACTAACTCTTGAAAGTTTGAGGTATGGACCTTAATGTGTTTATGCAGGTCCTGGGAATAAAAGGCTAAACAGCTCTGGTTTGACTACGAAAGGCAAGCTTGGGAGATAGATGAGTTCTGTACTCCAACAGTGGTCAGGTGGTTAACAGACCGATATGTGGGAAATATTCAACTCTGGGTCAAAAAGGAGAGGAGGATTACCTTTCACTACGCTATTGGGGAAGAAGTTAGCCCTTTTCATGTTAGTGTGTATATATTCAACTGGAGCAGAATACTGCCGGGTCATAAAACTCTGAGGGCTGGAGTATAAAAGCTGCCTGATGTATCAGTTTTGTATCCTTTCTCTGGAGCTTTTCCATCCATATCATACCAGTCTATGACAAAATGCCTCAGCATTGAAAGCCAGCATTTCTAGTGTTGTTATTTATAACTGTGAAGCTGGTTTTCTCCCTATTGCACTATAGAAAGATAAGAATTCAGAAGTTCAAAGGGGTCTTTAGCCTTCTTCTTGTGATCATGAGTAGACCGCACATGTTCTTAGCTTTATAAGAAAATGGCAAGAGGTGAAGGTTGGATCCTGGCGGCATGTTTGGGGGTTGGTGTTTCCCTAGACCTGACTCAGAATTCCTATCTTTTGTGAAGAGAACACGGGCTTTTCAGAACTTGACTCACATAATCAGGTCTCTGGTTCTCTTTCAGACTTTCTGCTGACCCCTCTGTCACCCACTGCCGGTCAGGGCAGCCCCTCATTTTGCGTTGGGAGTCTGGAGGAAGACTCTCCCTTCCCTTCCTTTGCCCAGGTAAATCCTTCGCTTCTGAAGCAGCCCAAGGGCATTTATGAAGTCTGTTGCTTGTTCTTTCTGGAACCTTCCAGGACAGCTGGAGGGAAATGAGTCATCTGATGGGTATGAAGGAATCCCTGCCAGGCAGAGTTTAAAGTAGCAGAGAATTGACTGAGAGCAGATGATGTTCACGGACATCCCCCTTGAGAACTGACCTCACAATCAGCAGAGCCTTGCTGTTCGTCTCACATAAGACCTTGGACTTAACCAGGAAAGAAGCTACGAGTAGCTGAGGGGGGAATCAGCTTTTATTTCACAAATCATTATACACATCAGTGCTGACCAGCACTGTCCTAGAGGCTGAGAATATAGCCATTTTAACTGGTCTAGGACTTCCTGGTTCAAGATGGTGTTTATCTGTTACATATACCAAACCACACCTATTCACTCCAGGAAGGGCAGAATTGGTGATCCTGGAAACAATAGCCAACCCTGCTTTCTTGGGTAGGGAGCTGGGGAAACATGAGACACTCAAATAGCTGAGGAAGCTTACCAAGCTTACCAAGAGCCCCTTGTGGAACCAGTTTTAATAATAGTTCTATAGAGCAGTTGATGTGGGTGTTTCTCAGAAATGGTATTTTGTGTTGAGAAATCAGCAGAACTATAAACTTTATTAAGGTCCTGAAGTTGGGGAACAATGAAATACAGTAAAACCTGTGTAAGCCAGAACCTGTAATGCAGAAACCTGTCAGAGAAGGAAAACATATTTTCCACTCAAATGAGCAGTTGAAAAGTAATAAGACTGTACTCTGCCAAAGACTGAAAACTTGCAAGATCCAGAAAAATAAGGCAGTCTTGTCAGTTTCTGGGTCTCACAGGTTTCCCTGTAACTGGAGAACAATCCTGAGAGTTAGCTCTGGGCTTTAGGAGTTACAAGCAAATGGCTCCCAGGTTTTATGCCAAATGCCTATTTTTGTTTTGCTTTATTTTACAGTATGTTTTATATCCATTGCTTCCCCCCCCCCTTCTACTTTATTTAGTAAACAGGTAAGAGAAAGACTAGTATAACTGATACTCATCCTTCACTTAGAGTCACTAATTATTAATATATTGCTGTATTTGCTTTCTGGGTTTTTTTGTGTTGGAGACCTCATGAATGACACTTGACTCCTAAATACATAAAACATGCCCAGGAATGACTTTTGCCTCCATAACCACATTATTATTCTTAAATGCCATCGAGTCAGTTCCTGCTCACAGCAACCCTATATAGGGTTTCCGAGGAGCTATTGTTGGGCTTAACCAATGATTTTGCAGTTGAGTGCTTATTCTACAACGCCACACCAGACTCCACAGTATCATCATTTCATACACAACTTCCTCTTAGGTTGTAACATCTTATCTAGCCCATGTTTCCATCTCCCCGTTTTGTCTGTGTCCTTGATTGATTGTAGTTGAGGGTACATTCAGAACTGACTGACTAGGTTTAGTTAGCAGATGTCTTTAGTTTCTGACCCAAGCAGTCCCGCTTGCTTTGTTTTAATCCCTTCTTCACTGCATGAACATTTTTAATGTTTTATTGTGAATTATGTGATAGTTTACATGGGATAACATTAGTTTTACATTCATCCTATCGTATATCGTTTCATTGCTATGGTTACAATCCACTCCATGCATCATCAGCCAACAAAAGGGTATACCCTACAAGCCTGTCTCCCTGTCGTCAGCACACAGCCCCTCTCCCTCTCTGTGTCTGAAGTCCCCAACTGCTCCATCTCTCCATGTCATCGTCTCTGCGTCCGTCTCAGGCATCACTGCTTCTCTGGGTAGGGTCCTGCTCTCTGCTCCTAGGCTGAATAGTTAATCACTCCCCTCCTTGCTACAAAACATCTATCTACCTTTACATTTCCAACCCTCGCAAGCAGTCCTGATAACAATTATTCATGATTGTATCACAAGAGACCCATCTGCATTTCATTTCATTAGCCGTGCCTAGACAGATTGTATACTACTCAGTGGAGATTCTACCTTTCTTCACATCCTCTGAATCTAGGTTCCATCTTGAAAGCTTGTAAGCGCCAGTCACTTCTTGCCTTTATAGGCCACCCCCTCCCCCCATTTTGGGTAGCCAGTGTCTAAGTTGCCCATCCCTGTCTACTCTGTGTATGGGGGGAGTGGGATTGATCCTTGCTGTAAAGATTTGTTCCCTCTTGAGCTACTGCATCTATAGGTAAGCAAAACAAGACCAACCCACTGCCATTGAATCAGTTGTAACTCTGAATGACCCTGTAGAGGGCTTCTAAGACAACAGATCTTTTGGGGAGCAGACATCTTGCTTCTTTGGAACAACTGGTAGGTTTAAATGCTTACCTTGCAGTTAGCAGCCCACTTTATGATCCGGGCTCCTTTGGACACATCCAGGCCAATTTTATAGAATGTCTTCCAGTTTGGAATTGTTGGATCATTTTTCATGATTGGATGCAGGGTGAGCATTTTTATATAGATGGTACTGATCTCTTAAGGGCAGGATTGTTAAGGTGGCACGTTACTTGGACCCACACTTGCATTGATCATCCAGATGATCCGTGATGAACAAGTTTATTCAGGACAGTCAAGGTCTGCTTGCCAACCAGAATTGTTTTGATTATGCACATTCACTTAGGGACACAACTTCAAAACAAGACATGCCTGCTGGGGCTTGTCTCCTGATGTATTTCCAGGAATAAAAAGAAAAAAAACCTAAAAACCTGGGACTTAATGTTACATATCATCCTATCAATTCTGACCCCATAGCGACCCTGTATAGGGTTTCCAGGAGCAGCTAGTAAGCTTGAACACTGACTTTGCAGTCTGACGCATTAGCCCACAGCTTGATACCAGGACTTACAGTGGCCTTCAAACACTACAAAGTTAGCCTTGGAAAGTGAGATGAAAACTATTCCTCGGGGGCAGGAGGGATTGATCGCCAGAAGACTCAGTTGCCACTGACTGGAAGAGGGACTGTTCTGATTTTACTGTACTTACAGGGAAAGGGAATAGGAGTCTTGGTGTAGAGGAGTCTTGGTGTGGCGCTGTGGGTTAACGTGCCAGTCTGCAAAGCCGTTTCAACGTCAAGGTTGGCGGTTCAAGCTCACCAGCTGCTCCTCGGAAACCCTATACAGAGTCACTATGGGTTGGAACCAACTTTATGGCATTTAACAACAAGAATGGGGAAAGGCAGGACTCAAAGGTTATGAGGGTCATTAGATCCATTTCAGGATAAAGTTAGTTTTCGTGGTCTTAGTAACTGAAGTCTAATTCCCAGGAGGTTTGTTTTAAAATTGGATGATAGTGTTTATTCCAACAGGCTGATGTCTCTAGGGGTTTCAAAAAGGACAGAAACAGGTAGTGACACAAAGTCAAGATTCCCAGTTGAGAATTATATACAGAACCTGTTGCTCTTTCTAAGCAATATCCTTTACCTGTCTTGTTTCCTAAGAAACAAACCAGCTTATCAAAGTGAAAATACTTAAATCCTTCTTCTCCCTCTTCTCACTTTGGTAGATGCTAAGAGTTGGAAAATCAAAAGCAGAGATGTGGCCCAAAACTGCACCAAAGAAAGGTGAGAATGGCCCTCTGGTGAAGGGGACTTAGTTGCTTCCAAGATTCTAACACTAGTATTTTTCAGATGAGAACAGCCTCGTCCCTCCTGCCCATGTGGATAGTGATGGGGAGAGTGACAACTCGGACCGGGTACCGGTGCCCAGTTTCCAGAACTCCTTCAGCCAGGCTATGGAAGCGGCCTTCCTGAAGCTGGACACAGCTGTTACTGCAGAACCCCTTGCTGGTAAGCAGAGAGCGCTGGATGCTCAGCCTAGGGCCACATACAGGTGTCCTACCTCATCCCTGTGCGGGCCAGGGGCGGGATGTCACCAGTCTCACTTGTCTTTAGCCCTTGGGCCTCAACATAGTCGAGTGTCAGCACCTTTCATTTGGTTTCTCAGACTTCACCTGTTTGGCACCCAGATTAATTTTCAGGCCTGGATATGAAACTCAGAACTTTGCGTTTCTCCCCTTCCAAGACACCATGGAAAGTAGAGCCAAACTCCAGAATGGGCCCTGGGTAGTTAGTGTTTGGAAAAGTCAGGCTCAATGCCCACCCTACTGTCGTACTTACGCCAAGATTTGAGAAAAACAGCTCAAAAAATGTAATGAAAAGATCGTGGAGGTTTTCCATGAACTTCTTGAAACCTTCTCGTATTTATGGTGTACTTTTTTATGTGCCTATCACTGTCCAGATTTTTTTTTCCTCACTACCATGGGCTTTCCTTATGGAAGCAGACCACCACCACTTTCTACTGCAGAGCGGTTGGTGGGTTCGAAATACTGACCTTTATTAGCAGTCCGACAATTAAAAGCACTGTGCCACCAGAGCTCATGCTCTTGGTATTCAGTACCAACCAGAAGACACGGGGATGCCGTTCTCCTCTAAACCCACTGTCTGTGTTTCCATTTAGAAGAGAAAGGAGGAAAGAAAAGAAAAAAACAGAAACAGAAGCTCCTGTTCAGCACCTCGGTTGTCCACACCAAGTGACACTACTGGCCCGGGCTGCCTTGTCCATCTGAGTTTCTTTTGTCTTTGCTTTTGTTCTGCTGCTGTAATTTTTAAGTATTTGAGTTTGAACAGATTAGCTTTGGGGGGTGGGGGTGGGGGTTTCCACGTGAGAGGGAACCAAGCAAATTTTAAATACAGTGTATTTTCCAGCTTCCCGTCTTTACACCAAAATAAAAGTATTGTCATGCACAAGAGAGCTCTTCTGCCAAGGTTTTTAGTTGTTGCCAGGTCAGCCATTTTCATCCACATGTGCTTAGTTGTTCTTATTCAGAGGACATTGGAGGCCCAGCAGCATCCCCTGGAGCCACCCAGAGTGTGACAGCACTGCTCTGCTCTAACATCTTGGGTCTGGGGACTGCGGTTTCAGCACACCTGTCAGTGTGTCCTTTAAAGAGTTAACATCTTTTCTACATGTTCAGTTCTCTTAAAGAAACAAGGGGGTCTGGGAATAAAAGGGATTTAGGACCCTGGCTGAACTGCAGTTTTCTTCTTAAAAATGGCCAGATTGGTGCCAGACCATACTTGCCAACTTCAAGGAATAGGTTGGCTGCTGTTGGTACTTTTGTGTGTGAGAGAGGGGTGGTTTTTCCTTTTGAAGTTGGCCTGGTTGATCATCCAGGAAGGAAAGCTGTAACTATCACAATTAAGGAAGCCCTGTGACCTGCCAGCCTGTTTCAAGGGGCGGTGGCTGGAATTGTAGAAGTCCTCAGCATCTAGAGGCAGAGGAAGGTAGACTGCCTCCAGTCCATTGGGGATGTCCACTCCCCACCCTCCATGGTGTCCAGCGCAGTCTTCTTACCCCTTGGTTGGAAGTGCATTTGAGCGATGTGAATTCTTTTGCTGCTTGATAAAGTCATCTCTAGATGTACTAGAATGTGAAGGTTAATAGTTGTAATAAATCACCTGCACAAGCACTGTGAGCTTTTTGGTTTTTTTAAGTTCATTACAGGTCAGGTAGATAAATATTTGTTTAACTTATCACTAAATGTGGACTTGGGAGCCTGAGCAGCCATGCTGTCATGGCATAATTGCCTCCCTGGTTCAGGCCTCAAAGCCCCACCTGGCTGACCCTAAAACAAAGCCGCTCAGAAAAGACACTCTCTTAGGGAATGAGGCTGGTCTGGTCCTGAGATGAGCACACTGTTGTAAAAATCCTGGGTTTGTATAAAGGACTCGAAGTGATATCCATTTGATTATGAAGACAACAGATCCCAGACATGCCATTAGTATTCAGCAGACTATGTACCTAGAATGCGGCATTCTCTTCTCTCTCTGGGTGGAAAGCAGGCATGGGTCAGAAATGCAAAAACGACCAGAGGTTGGCAGCTGCTTAATGCTTCTACTCCAAGAGGTCTGCTTAGGAGCCACCATGGGGACTTGGAAGTACAAGACCTCAAGTGAAAGGCCAAATGTTCAAACTTCATTGAGTATCAAATGGGACCAGTCTTCCCACCAAAGCCCAGGAATGGGGGGCGGGGGTGGGGGGGAAGAGACTGCCAGACTTTAATTCCACAAACGGATTTTATAATTTAAGTATGATGTCCCACCTTTTCTGTCAGACAATGAAATACAAAGATGCTGACCAGATGTGGGCCCAACCAGATCTCTGGAAAAGGCAAGGCTGCTAGGACAGAGGAAACTTTAAGTGTATTTTAAGCCAGTTCTCCATCTTGAGCTGGAAACTCTCGTCCTCTGGTTGTTGAAGATGTTGCACCTTCTGGAATGTTGGGTTCATTCCAAAGCAGCCTCCTCACTGCCACTGCCTGAAAGTTCCTCCTGGCCCTGCTCCTCCTCTAGTAAACAGCTTCTTGTGACAGACTTCCGGATAGCCTTCCGTTCCCCTGGATAAAGACACAAGAGAGCTGCTGGGTGGTCCCTGCTGATGGAGTTGGGGGTCCATCCTGCTCATTGGGCATGGGCTAGAGCTTACCTTCATCAGGACAGTTCTGCAATAAGATCAACAGCTGTCTCCTGTTGTACTGAATCAGGAACTTCTGACAGGTTCTAATAGTACCTGGCACATGAAGGGGTTTGTGGTTAAACTCCTGAAAGATCTCCATCTCAAAGACCTACAGAGCTAGGGGCAAGTATCCACGTAGAGACAAATGGAGTCTGTTACCTGCTGCAAAGCAAGACCTACCACATGTATCCATACCTCCCACGTGCAGAGTGTTGAGAAAACAAGGGTAGCGGTGTCCTTTGTTCTCCAAGTAAGTGATGAAGGGAAGAGCTGACCAGACAAGTTGGTAGAAGTCTTTCCGGCAACGAAGCAGCACTACTCCAGTGTAGGCGTTGAGGTATCTCACTACAAGAGATCGGGTGGGTGAGTCATTTTGAAAGACTGGATTCACAGCAGCAGGTTAAGATTTTTAAGCTAATTCAGAGCTGCTTATGCGGCAGACTGTTCTAGGTAGTGGCATTGTGAGCTTAAAGTGGGAAAAAGATTTCTCATGGGAAACCAAAAACATTTTAGGACCAGCAGTAACAGAGACATAAAACCAAATACTTTGCACAGTCCTGGTGTGGTGTAGGATAAACACTGGACTGCTAACCAACTGCTTCTCAGAAACCCTATGTAGGGTTGCTATAATTCTGAACCAACTCGATATTTAACAACCTTGCACATCCCTCAGAATTGGTTTAGGAATTTCAAATGATCCTCTAATTTACCAACTAGAGTAAAAGAATAAAGGGGGAACTGGGAGGTGGAGGTGGGGCACTCAACATAAAACTATACTGAAAAGCTGGCAGCTGAGAGGGTTGGTTCTGGGAGCAGCCTGCAGCCTTTCACCTGTGTACCTGGGATGTGTATTTTATTCTCCAGGGTTCCGTTTCAAACGACAAAATAAGGGCTGGAGCCAGGGCTCCCAGCTCACCCTGCAGTATCCACATAGTGGTGTCTTCTGTGCTTTATGGATTATTGAAGGGTTTTTCAGAAGCAATTTTGACATGTTTTTCTTCCCCACATGGTTGTAGCCTGTCAAATAACAGGTTCTTACTCTTGGTGTGTGGGGGATTCAAAAAGTGCGTGGAAAACTTCCATTATCTTAATTCCATTTTTTCCCAGGAACTTTTTGAAGCCTCCCTCGTATACGTGGCTTCTCTCATTCAATGCTCACTACTTACAGATGTCAAACAGGCACAGAGAGGATACTTGTCCTAACGCCCCACACCTTTGCGTCCCTACTCGGTTTTTCCCTTCCACAAGTCCAAGAGCCTAAATAGGCAAATAACATAAAAAGGTTGCTCGGGTTTGACGGGGTCTCTTGTGCCCCGCCTCTCCCCATCCCATGCACCCCAAGTCCACCCTCGCACCAGCGAATCCGATGGAGCAGGCGGCCGCACCGAACGTCCCGTGCACCCGAGTGATTGTGTCCCGCACGAGGCCGTCCAGCACTCGATCCTCAAGGCTTAGGCGGCAGCGGGGGTCGTCAGACACCAGTTCGCACAGCAAGTACCTACGACAGGAGGGAGGTGAGCGCGGGTCGGGGCCCAGGGCCACGAACGGGGGCTGAGCAAGGGTGACTTACCTGTGCTTGAATCGCACCATAGCAGCCTCTATACACGCTCGCCGGATGCTCAAACCGGATGTGGCGTTTCAGTTCGCGGCCAATGGGTAGTTTGTTTCCGTAGCCTTGCAGCCACTCAGAGAGGAAAGACGGGGCCTGAGGCGGAGCTAGAAATGTGAGAGGCAGAGCTCTTTGCAGTTTCCCTGAAGCCCCGCCACCTCGCGTCCGCTAGAGGGCTTGCTTCCTACAGGTCTACATTGTTGTTAAGTGCCGTTGAGTCGCTTCCGACCCATAGCGACCCTGTTTAGGGTTTCCAAGGAGCAGCTGGTGAACTTGAACTGCTGATCTTGCCGTTCAAGCGGCTTTGCTGTCTGGCGCATTAATCCACAGCGGCACACCAGGACTCGTACACCGTGATATATTTGTTTGTATTGTTAAGTGCCATAGAGTGGGTTCTGACGTATAGCGGCTCTGTATAGGGTTTCCGAGGAGAAGCTGGTGAATTTGAACCGCCGACTTTGCGGTTCAAACCGACCATGCGGTCCAGTGCATTATTTCACAGCGTCACACCAGGATGGTTTTTTAGGTAATTAACTCCAGGGCAGTAGTTTTGGGTATGGCTGGAATCCACCGTCCAGAGGACTGGCTTTGCTTCTCACCCGATTTAGCAATACTTGGTGTGATGCAACCACTGCATTTGTGCCCTCAGGACGTGTACTTCGTTATTTCTTTTCCCAGATTGAACACTGAAACTTCTAAGGACAAGAACTGGAAAGCAATCCCCCCAGGCAGGGATTGACTGGGGAAATAGGGCCTATACTTGTTGATAAGCTCTGTCGTCTAGTGGGTTCCAACTCATAGCGACCCTGTATAGAATTTCCAAGGAGCGGTTGGTGAGTTTGAACCGCCCACCATCCGATTCAAACATCTTGTACTCCAGTGCCATAACCCACAGCGACACACCAGGACGCCGGGGTCTATATTAGGGTGCTTCAAAAAAATCATGAAAAAAATTACATTATTATTTCAACTTTTCATTGTGAATTGAGTGACGGATTATAGACAAGATCGTCAGTTTTACATTCAACAAATACGCTTTACTTCCTTTCAATGATGGCAATCGCCGCCATGCAACAAGAGTGCTCCCAATTCTTCCCTGTAGTTCCTATTTCCATTCCACCCACCTTCCCAGCCCTTCTCAAGTCTGTTTCTAGGTCACTGTTGCCCTGTGAATTTGAATGATTGACCATTCCATGGTGAGCATACTTTACTAGTGTTGTCTCCTTTATATACCTATCTACTATTTGGCTCAAAATTGGGCCTCGAAGGTGTTTCTTTCCAGACCTGAAGGGTGGTTAAGTGCCATAGTCTGAGGTTCTCCAGTCTCTTTCTGACCAGTAAACCTGGGATTTTCTGTTTGTTTGTTTCAATTAACAATTTTGACTTTTGTTCCACATTTTCTCTGGCTCTGTCCAAGACTTTCTATATGATCTTTTTTTTTTTTTT